CGCCATTGTATGGAAACATACAGTGCTGACATTGTGATGACATTATTATTATTATTATTACAATATGTATTCTAACCTGTGCAGATTATTTTGTTGCTCACCTCCTCCCACATCATATCCTCATCAGCCCACTTTGCACCTACCTTAGCAGCTGCTTTGTGTTTTTGATTTTAATCTGCTTAAGTGCACTTGTGAAATTAGGATAAGCAGTTAGATAAATATACAGATGGATAAATTTTCTATTGTTGCCAGTGACAATTAAAAATTATCATTGGCATGGTTTGTAGACCTGGATATTCAGGACTGTAGTCTTGGATGCTTCCAGTCAAATGGGGAGCTCCTGTCCGTGTGTCAAACTACAGTTCGAGCGTTCCAGAAATTATGGGAACTAATCAATTTGAGATGGGCTAAAGATGCTAGAAAAAACTCTGTGCTTTTTTCATAGAAAATGTGTTGCACACATTTTCTTAACATGATCAAAACAAAAGTGACAAGGCTGTGAGTGAGAGAACCCTGCAAATGTTTTTAGACATTTGAAGACGTATCATTTGTAAACTAGTCACCAACAATCACAGCCTAGTGGAATACTACATTACAGAAGACTTGGAATTAGATTTTAGGACTAATCCAATTTGGGAAGTATTTAATTGGGTAATAAATCAAGACGTAATAAGAAACATTTTCATATAGGTATTCTTGTTTTGGCAACTTGACTTGCCTAATGTTTCCAGTTAAAAACTAAAATTACAGAATTTCTTTCTCAAACCCAGAAGTGCAGCAATGCTTTTGTACACTGATTCCTTCATATCAACAGTTCAGATTAATTATAATAATATAGTGCTAACAGGCAGCATCTAGGTCTCTTGTAAATGAGTCCTCGAGGCTCAGTGAGACTAACCTGTATAAACTGAAGTTCAATGAATCCCACCAAGTTTGCTTGTGTTAGTACTTGGTATTATGTCTACTGTATTTGGTGCTGAATTGTCCACTGTGTACTGTGAAAACCATTTGGTCACATTGGTCAATGCTACAGTGTCTGCATCTCTCTATATTTTCTCATGCTTTCTTCTGCTTTTAGCTGTTTTTCTGTTTCCCTTATTTTTTTCTTTCACTCATTCTTTTTTCTGACATCCCCTCTCCACACTGGCTTCTCTGTAGTAAACCACTACTGCAGCTTCCGTTCTTCACTCAATCTCCACCACACCATGTTTCAGCAGTGAGAGGGAGGAAGGAAATTGCGGGTGAATAATGAGGGGGAAATAGTAAAGCTTTAAGACTGAAAGCACTGGATGTAGAAAAAGATTGAAAGGCAAATAGGTGATCTGCAGGAGGAGGAGAAATGGAGGAGAGAAGGGCATAAGAATACCAGAGAGGCTGCTGAATGTATAGGGTGAAGATATTTATGGTGAAGAGTGCAGCTGGGGCAGAGCTATTTGAGAGGTGTACGTGTTCATGTGGAAGATCTCTGAGATCAGACAGAGACAAGAGAACCCCTGTAGAGTTAAATGAGCACTCATTGTGTCTCCAACTCTTTCTACCCATCATTTGATATACCCCCACCCCTCTACTAGTATCTCATTGCTGACATTTCTCTGCCTCCATATACATTGTGAACCATATCTACAGTAAATATGTTACATTTAGTTGTTTGTTTGCTGTACTCTAATATTAATATGACAAATTAAAATACCTACTCACATTTAAATAAATTTCAAGGACTAAAAAAGGAAAATGTTTTTGTTCACGCCATAAGTTGGAGTACATGTACAGCGGGGCAAAAAAGTATTTAGTCAGCCACTGATTTCTCCTACAATTTCTCCTACTTAGAATAATGAGAGAGGTCTGTAATTTTCATCATAGGTACAGTTCAATTATGAGAGACAAAAGGGGGGTGGGGGGGATCCAGGAAATCACATTATAGGATTTTAAAATAATTTATTTGTAAATTATGGTGGAAAATAAGTATTTGGTCAATAACTAACAAGCAACATTTCTGGCTATCACAGACCTGTAAATTCTTCTTTAAGAAGCTCTTCTGTCCTCTTCTCGTTACCTGTATTAATGGCACCTGTTTGACGTCGTTATCTGTATAAAAGACACCTGTCCACAGTCTCAAACAGTCAGACTCCAAACTCAACCATGGCCAAGACCAAAGAGCTGTCGAAGGACACCAGGAAGGAAATTGTAGACCGGCACCAGACTGAGAAGAGTGAATCTACAATAGGCAAGCAGGTTGGTGTGAATAAATCAACTGTAGGAGCAATTGGAAGAAAATGGAAGGCATACAAGACAAGATAACCTCCCTCGATCTGGGGCCCCATGCAAAATCTCATCCTGTGGGTTCAAAATGATCATGAGAACGGTACGCAAAAATCCCAGAACTACACAGAGGGACCTGATGAAGCAGAGAGCTGGGACCAAATTAACAAAGGCTACCTTCAGTAACACACAACACCGAGAGGGACTCAAATCCTGTAGTGCCAGGCGTGTCCCTCTGCTTAAGCCAGTACATGTCCAGGCCGGTCTGAACTTTGCCAGAGAGCATATGGATGATCCAGAAGAGGATTGGGAAAATATCATATGGTCAGATGAAACAAAAATAGAACTTTTTGGTAAAAATTCAACTCATGTTTGGAGGAAGAAGAATACGGAGTTGCATCCCAAGAACACCATAAGTATGGGGGTGGAAACATCATGCTTTGGGGCTGTTTTTGTGCAAGGCGACTGATCTGTGTTAAGGGAAGAATGAACAGGGCCATTTATTGTGAGATTTTAATCCAAAACCTCCTTCCATCAGTGAGAGCATTGAAGATGGAACGTGGCTAGGTCTTCCAGCATGACCATGATCCCTAGCACATCGCTCGAACGACAAAGGAGTGGCTCCGTAAAAAGCATTTCAAGGTCCTGGAGCAATCTAGCCAGTTTCCAGACCTGAACCCCATAGAAAATTTGTGGAGGGAGTTGAAAGTCCATGTTGCCCAGTGACAGCCCAAAACATAACTGCTCTAGAGGAGATCTGTGTGGAGGAATGGACCAAAATACCAGCTACAGTGTGTGCAAACCTGGTGAAGTTCTACAGGAAATGTTTGACCTCTGTCATTGCCAACACAGGTTATGTAAAGTACTGAGTTGAACTTTTGTTATTGACAAAATACTTATTTTCCACCATAATTTACAAATAAATTATTTAAAAATCCTATAATGTGATTTCCTAGATGTTTTTTCCCTCATTTTGTCTCTCATAGTTGAAGTTTACCTATGATGAAAATTACAGACCTGTCTCATCTTTCTAAGTAGGAGAACTTGCACAATCAGTGGCTGACTAAATACTTTTTTGTCCCACTGTACCAGGGGATATTAAATATTAACAACAAAACTACTAATTTGTATATGCCCTAAATATTTGATTTTAGAAACCTTTATTCATTTATTGTGTCTCATAAAATTTCCACTTGCATTTTCATTTTTCTGGTTTTGTTTCTCTGTCCTTGTTAATAATACAGAACACCTTTTGTCAGGTAATGTTAGCCTAACATTACACCGTAAAGTTATTGTTGTATGACTGTGTATTTTATACCATGGAGTACAAGTATATCTTTAAAATTTGATGTTACTAAATGTTGACTTATTAAATTTTTCAGTTTTTCATTAGCTGTCTTATTTTCTGCTGTTCTGTCTCTTGCTCAGTTGCCTCTGGCAGCCACATTGAGGTTCTCCTCCTCATCTTCTTTGCTCTGTCATTCATCATCAGAGTCGGTCTGTTTTCCCTTTCCACATGGCAAAACATCTGTTTGGGAGTCTTACGCTTGCTGTGTTGAAACAGATTTTTATTACCCATGTTCAGAAATGCTTTTAATGCACAGCATGTTTAAAGATATGTTTAAATGCATATATAAACATGTTCTCATTTGGTTCAGATTTGGGTTGTAATTAGTTATAGCATGGTGTTTTAAATACCAGGATTTTTAACTGTTAGAACTAATAAGATTAACTCTTAAGAATTGTGAAGGTTGCTGTAGGAATTTAAAGCTGTAAAATTAATAGAAAATTATGAAGCCTGATATATTTTTGAATACACTAAAAATGAACTCTGCATGTCTTGAATAATAACTAATATTGATCAATTTTCAGTCAGGACATTTGGACAGTTTCTTTTTTTTTTTTTGCTGAAACGTTTCATCTTCCATCCGGAAGGCTTCATCAGTCAAGGAAACACACAACACAAAACTGATTCTTCCCCCAAACAGCTTACTCCAAAGTGGAACAAACCAGTTATGTTGGTGCTAAGATGGTGTCTTTGGCACGCCCCCTCCTCTGGAGCCGGCCCTCTTCCTCGTCGACAGTCATGTCAAACTGGTTCAAAACCAAAAAAGTCCACGCTCAGTAATCCAGGTATACAATCGCAACAATTTTCAGTCGGGTCATCTGGACAGGTTTTTTTTCTGAAACGTTTCACCTTCCATCCGGAAGGCTTCATCAGTCAAGGAAACACACAAGACAAAACTGATTCTTCTGTCAACCAGCTTACTCCAAAATGGAACAAACCAGTTATGTTGGTGCTAAGATGGTGTGTTTGGCACGCCCCCTCTTGTGCCGACTCTTTTCCTCGTCGACAGTCATGTCAAACTAATAACTAATATTGTTGGTTTTTTTTAATAGCCACATTTAATATTTATATTTAACAGCAATTAAAAAGGGAATTGATAAATATTAAATAATGTAAAGTGGCATTAATAAAACACACCAGACATGAGTAAAGCTTAGATTTGTTTGCCTGTGCAAAACAAGCATGTGCGCTTATTAATTTCACACAAGGAAAAACAAAACCGCAATAATTTCCTTTGTTGCTAGAAATGGTTCAATTGCAGAACACATTCAAGGTGTCAGGAAGGAGTGAAAACATTAAAATGGCACAGGTTTAGAAGACAAAGCATAATGGCAGGTTTTTGATTCAATCTAACATTTTTCCTTCATGATCTAACACCGTTTCTTTCTTGCAGATGGCGATGGCTATCAGGACCACCTCCTCCCTGCCTGTTCAGATGAAATCTGTCACCAGAGTGCCATCTACCTCACCAAGCCAGGTTCAGAAAAGGTACACGCAGTCGTTTTCACCACTCGTCTTCCTTTGATACTTTTACTTACCGGTAGCTTTTCTCCTTTGAATGCTGCGAGATACTTTCAGAGGTTTGGCTGCTGAGTTCGTTTTTAAACTCTCTCACAGGAAGCACAGGTTAGATCCTAAAAGAAAGATGAAATGGCTTGTTGTCATTTTTATGTAAATGGCTTTTGCATGTTGTGTTCTTCACTAAATTGCACAGAAAGATTTACAGGTCCTTCTTTTTTTAAGTCAAACTTAGTGTATATTGTTCTTATAAAACACAAATATACTAACAGTCTTACAAATGTATTTTTTCTAATAGGATGTTTGCCCTTTTTTTATTTTTTGAATCTCTGTTAAATCCAAGTGACATGCAAATTTAAAAAGGTTGTACCAGAATGGAATAGATGTATAAAATTAAATACAATGGCTGCTTTTTTCTTTGGGATGTGGATCACATTCTCATGGGTGCTGCTCTCGTTAATGCATCATATCTGCATTTTTCATTTTCAGTTTTTAAAGTTGTTACTCTAATTTTTTTACCATGGTTTAATCATATTCTTAAAATTCAGATTACATTGTTGAGTGTTTAGCTTGGTTTATTTTACTGTGTATTAAACATTAATCTTATTTATACCACAGTGTTCAAAATGGTTTTAAAACAATACAGTTCAAAAGTCACCAATATTTAATAATGCATGGAAATTTGCATGAGTCTGAACTGTTCGTGATATGATGCTTTCTGTGTGAAGCTTGAGAAGCGTACTGCCAAAGGTGTATGAAAAAATAAAAGTAGTTGTTGGCGTAGGACTGCCTTTTAGTCACAGCAAGCAGCTATGGAAATCAGCTGGAGACAAAGTAGTGAAGTCGGTTTTATTAAGAGCACATTTAAAAACAACAGGTGTTGGCCATAGTGCTGTACATGGAAAACAGCAGGTATAACAGAATACAAAGTTATGAGTTAAAAAAAGTAACAGTAAAAGAGTACAAAGGAAATTACTCCTTAAAATGTATTAAAAAGCACACTATTACATAAGATATTGTAACTTAAGTTCGTTTAAATGTTGAACTGATTAATGATGCTTTTAACCAGTGGTTTTCAAACTAGGGTCCCCAGACCCCCGGGGGCCCACGAGCCGGTGCTTGGGGGTCCGCAAAAAAACAAACAAACAAACAAAAACAAATACAATATTAATTCACCCTTTATTTATACAGGTTAATCCCATTGAGCCTCGCCGACTCATTTACAAGAGAGACCTGATTTCTTTAACTATCTTTGACAACAGTGGATAACAACAACAACAACAACAACAACAATAGACAATCATAAAAGAGGCATACTGATTTTTTTGTTTGTTTTTTACAAATTAAAATAAAATAACATGGCAACCAAAAGGACAGTCTAAAGGAAAAAAGTAGCAAAAAAAAAAATAGATATAGATATATCTATGTCTATATATGTATATATATATATATATATATATATATATATATATATATAACAAGCACGTAAATGTTTAACAACATGTTTAAATACACCAAAAATGCAGGAAATCACATCTACTTTATTCAAAATTTTCTGGGGGAGGCTAGCTACAAGCTAAGCTAACAGGCCAACCTCGGGGAAACAAACCTCCGTCTTGTCAAAGCTCCAAAATTCATGGTTGAAACCCGTGCCTTCGTCTAAAAAATAGTTTTTCTCTGCAAAAAGAAACTGAGAACTTGTTTACTGATTTTTATGAAAAGCTTTGTGTGACAAATGCTATGCTAAAGAGCTCAAACCACACCGAGCGTCCGCCATTTTGAGAACCGAAAAACAGGAGAGACAGCCCATGTCAGGTCAAAGGGCCTCCCTCCTATTTTTCTTAAAGAGACACGCTGCTCGCTCCCTCTCTATCCATCCTTCGGTTCAAGCAGTCTTATACTGCCATCCAGTGGTCAAAAAAGGCACTACACACAAAATAACATCAACATTTCTTTTGAAATTTGACAATAATTACTACTTATTGTCAAATTTCAAACAATATTATCATTTATCACAATAATTTCTGAGACAATTAATTGCCCAGCAAAATTTGTTATTGTGACAGTGCTAGTTAAGATAATAACTAGGTGGTAATAAAAGATGGTAATAAAAAGTCTTAAACTGAAAACTAGGAACAATCAGTTTTTGTTTTTATTTACTACATTGATGTTTGTGTGGGTTTTTGTTTGTGTAAATTTTCTTGCAGTTTTCTGGATTCGTAGTACTTAGTGCTACTCAGTCTGCTTCACTTCAGTTGCTGCTATAATGTTGAGGGCAGCATGATTTTAGGTCACCACCTTCTTCTTGTGGTTCGGTACTTGTTTGTATCTGTATGTTTAAAACTAAGTTCTGTAAAGACTGGAAAATAAATGGGAACATCAAAAAACTCACACATATAAAGGCCAACAATCCCTCTGACTGTTTCACCAATATTCTTTGGCCTTTTTTGAAGGCAGCTATTTTCCATAAGAGCAATAATACTCTTTGGAGCTCACCGCAACAATAATTTCTGTGGAAAGCTCTCTCATAAAGCACCACGTCTGTCTATTTCAGGAAGGCATTAGCCATTTAGCTCACTGCAGGAGGTTTTTCCTGATTGGAAAGACATTGTGACTGATCCAGCACTTGTCACTTTGTTTGTGGTTTGACAGATATGCACACGCAAACCCACACAGTTTCATCAAATTAATGAATTTGAACGAAATTTAATGTAGTGCATATGAATGAACATATTAAAACACAGCTGTTCTTAAACTCAGATAAACATGCACATCAACTCCACCACCACCTCCATTACATATTGTGTGATTTCTCTGTGTTTCTGTTCAGTTGGCTGGAACCTCCCTTCTTTTTCTTCTCTCTGCATTCAGAAAACTCGCCTCCACTTGTTTTCCCTCAGTCCAACACAAAAACACTACAGACTTATCTGCATGACCCCCCACCCCTCAAACACACACACAAACATAAAAGATGTGCGTTCAGAGACAGACAGATGTGTATTCTCTGTGGGCACGCATGCGGTTCTTTGCCTGTCAGCGAGAGAAATGAATGATTGAAAGAAGAAGTGAAAGGAGGAGTGTTGAAGAAAGAGGACTTATCAGCACTGATGGATGAAGTGAACGCTTGATTTTTCTTTTTTTTTTGCCATTTGTTTGAGAGACAGCCATTGCTGTTAAAGAAAAATGCAGCTGTAGCAGATGCAAAGAAGGATTTTTTTAACTGAAGACTGTACAGTAATCCCTCACTTATCGTGGGGGTTACGTTCCAGACCCCCCCCCCCCCCCCACACACACACACACATACACACACACACACACACACACACACACACACATAGTAAGTGAAAAACCGAAATCCACGGCGTAGCGACATTATATTAATTTTAGTATTTATATATATTTTAAAGCTTTAGAAAACCTTCCTAAACTCGTGCAATGTTTTAAACTCTTAAACCTACATCATTTGAACAACATACATATATGTAGCTACTAAATTGTATTCACCAGCTGGCAGAACAGCAGCGGCTCTCAATTCTGATTCAGTTCAGTGCAGCCTTTGAGCACCGAGGGGGGATGAACCTTCGTATGGCCGGTGCTGGACCGATGGTCCAATTGAACGGTCCGATAAAGAGATTTTTTTTTAATCCCGGTGTTCTCCAGAGAGTAGCCGGACCTACAGCGGCGCCTCCCCCTGCTCGGAAGTCCTTGTGGGCCAGCTAGGAGCTCTCAGATTCACCGATGGGTCTGGAGGTCCAGTTCTGCTCCAGTACTGGTCTGGTTCCCAGTGGGTTCCATGCGGCTCTCTGCATCCCCTGGGTGCCAAAGTCACTGTAATAAGCACCAAACTTTTTTTTCCGATCAGATCAAAACTTTCTCTCTACATATTTCAGCAGAAGGCAGTTGGCTTCTGGGAAATGTAGTCCTTATGAGCAAAGGATACAGTGTAGGCTTATTGAGAGAAAACTACAAAATGGCGCCGCCTGTCCAAAGTATTTTATTTTTGCATTAACTTTTTACTGTACAGTATTCTGTACTGTCCCAATCATGAGTAGTGTTAAAGTTGGCAATCATGTGTCCTGTACATTTTTTTTCCTCGTGTTCAATCTTACTCTGAAAAACCACAAAAAAGCAAGTTCGCAAAAGTCCAACTGTGAAGTAGCGATGGACTAATGTATTTTAATACTGAGCAACATGCATCGCAGATGAAAACGTTTTGTAACTCTCTGTGACTCTAGACAATCTGCTAACCCTTTACAACCACAAGCTTTTCAAAGCACCTGACTGAGGCTGTTAATAACTGATACAGACAAAACAGAAAACAGCAAGAACATAAACAAGTAATATATGAATTTACTGTCTGAAGTAAAATTTATAAATTTGCATCAAAGAGCAGGACGAAGCTGCAAAAAAAAAAAAAAGTCCATAACTACACAGTTTCAGTGTACAGATTTAATTTGTAAACAGCTTAAATATAGTCATCAGAAATAAACTTCATATTGTGAAAGCAATACCAGGAAAAGCTAGAGGTGTCTTAGAAAGAGGTAATGAAAACATATTAAATTGTAAATTAGCTGACTACCAACCATCACTGAAGTTAATCTTTGTAGAAGAAAAGATCAGTGAATGCCTTTCCAATTTTCTGAGCATTAAGTTTGAAATATTCTGCTTTCAACATGCATTGTTTTTCAAATAAAATAAGAAAAGATTCAACTAAAAGTATATAGAGAGTGAATTCCTTTCTAGCTATATACATATATATACAAACCGGATTCCAAAAAAGTTGGGACACTAAACAAATTGTGAATAAAAACTGAATGCAATGATCTGGAGATGGCAAATGTCAATATTTTATTTGTAATATAACATAGATGATTAATCTGAGTAAATGTAACATTTTAAAGGAAAAATTCAAAATTTCACAGTAATAAATCCCAAAAAAGTTGGGACAAGTAGCAATAAGTGGCTGGAAA